GCCTGACATTTCATCAGGTGCTTTATGTCTATTTCTCAAAGCAATATAACAAGGTGGCTCTGGAAGCTCCATTTTATAGATGAGAACCAACTTGGAAGAGTCAGCTTGTCTACGATCTCACAGACAATTAATGTCCTCTGTCCAGGCCCAAATCCTGTTCTTTCCTCTGTGCTGTGTTGATCTTCAAGGAATCATATTTTAACAATTAAAAAAGAGAAAATTTTACATACTATAAAGGTTTATATTATCTTGAGATTTACTTAGTTGAATATTTCATACTCTTGGAATTCACTCCTCTATTGATGATTCTATTAAGAATTTAAGTCATTTGATTGTTAAATAGATATATCTACTCACATTTGTTGATTATTTTATTCCTGAAACAATTAAGCTGTTCAGCTCAAAGCCACAAGCCCCGTGGGCCCTGCTGGCCTGCAGCAGCAAACCAAGGCAACACAGGACTATTTCTAGGAGGGCTCATAGACATTGAGATAATTACCATCAAAACTTCCAGACAATAAGCAGCCCTGAGAATATCCTGAGGGATTTGGTCCCAGATTCTTCAACTCCAAAGCAAGCTCCCGAGAGGAATGCCTTTCTTAACAAGCTTCACTGGAGGAATTTCCTACCTCCTTGGAGAAAAAGAAGCCAGTCAGGAATATGGATCTGGTCTGGGCCAACAGTCAAGGTAGGCTGAAGTTTCAGGCTAGAGGAGCTCCTGTTAAGGAGTTCAAGGCCAACAGGTTGGTGTTGGGAAGGTTAGAGAAAGAAGGGACACCATAACAAGGCTGGGAGACACCTCCTGGTCCCCCCAGGCTTTGCTCTGTTCCAGTGCAGACAGAAAGAGGGTGCTGCCTGGGAACTGGTGCCACCCTCCAATGGAGGGCCAAACCCCTCCTCACCTTAAAATATTCAGCCAGACCTCAATCTTAGAATCAGCTCCACAGACCTAAATACATTTGATATCACCTAAGGACTGGAAGGCATGATGTTTTTGTCTTTGATGACCGGTATAGAGTTTTAGAAATGTGCTGATTACTCAACCAACCAATCTTTGAGTACCTTCTATATAGTAAGGCATCAGGAGAGGTGCTAAGGGTAATATAAGAAAAATAAACATTGTCCCTGCCTCAAGGAGCTTTTAGAGACAGAAGCAAACAAATAATCATTAACTGTTTTTGTTGTTGCTGGTAGGTCACCAACAGTACTTAATATGTAAAATCTGAGTTGAGGATAGGGTAGAATCAAGGCATTCAGAATAAAACTCATCACACTATGGGTTACCCATGCCTCAAAAAAACCCCACAAGCTTTTAAATATGTAAAATAAACATATCTTTCTTGCCAATTTTGTACTCCCTAAATAATTTCTAAAATAAAACTTGTGTCTATTTGTAGAGGCAAGCTGTATATAACTTACATCCAGGGCACAGATCTGCCTGGATCCATCATCTCCCAAATTTAAAAATAAAATTATTTCTGCCTCCAGAAAGCAATGATGTTTCTAAAAAGAAAAAAGACTGCTTGCAAGCTTCATTTAAAAAAAAATTGGAATTAGATATGTATTCCTAAGTATCCTACAGCAGTGAGAAATAGGAGCTATTGTCTTACTTGTTCAAAAGGCAGATAAAAGGAATAAGTGAAAGTCTGAATGTTTTAGTTGGGAGAAAGCCTGATTTCTCTGACTCTGAGACAGACAAGGAAATTATTTCACTGAAAAGCAAAGCTTTCACTCAAGTGAATTGAATGATAAATAGTATTTTGGTTAAACCTGCATACTTTTAAAATTTATTAATGGCAAACTGATTTTAACCTACCAGTCATTAGCTCTGAGGAGGACACTACTATTAACATTATTTACATCACATATATGCTGTATCTAAACATTCCACTCATTTTAACATTTAGCAAAAGCATAAGGCTCCATGTTTATCTGCAAACTATGTACAGTACTATTGCTTTCCCTGTCAGCAAAATGCTGAGACATTTACCAAATATAAAAGCATTCCTACATAGCAGTTGCGTATTGGGGGCGGAGAGTGGAGGGCATCAGGAATGTTATTCATCAATGACTGTCAAAAGATATGTTAGACCATTGAGGTCTGTTTCTAAAATACACCTTGAATGAAATTATGCCATTAAAAGGCTATTCTGAAATATCTAGGCTCAAAAGTCTGTAGAAAAAGATGTAAATATATATTTTAAATACTTTCAAAACAGTCAAAATCATTAAAAACAGAACTGATTCTCCTGTCTTTTCATGAGATTATCACTTGGCCACATGAGGACATTTCTCACATGTCTAGTCCTCATTCAGACATGCACATGACACAGCATACCTGGGCCTGTTAATATAGCTTCCTAAAATAATAAAAAAGCTATGTTGTCTGACACTTTGGGGGGAGGGGGCAGGAGAGGGGGGAG